AAGTCAAGTCATCTGATACCTTGGCAGCATTTCACTTAATAGCTTAGGCTTGGTAAAGATATATTGGTTTCTGCATCATTACAAAGAAAAGAAGAAGAACAAAGTACCACATACCTTATTGGTGTTTTCCTCTACTACGTTCATATGTGTAATACACATATAGAAAGAATATCTTGAAATACAAGCCTAAATTAATGCTTTCTAAGTTTTGGGTTTAAAGAAGACTCTATGTGTTTGCAAAACTTAAGAAAAGGAGATGAAATTTGATGATTTTGCTCAAAAATTTTTGAATCACTATGACAATTTTTTATGCATTTTATGTTGTCCTTTAAAAGTGGTTAGGAAACATTTGAACTAGAAAGAACTTTCAGTATTACTGAGGCCATTGCAAAGCACTTCAGTGTGGTCCTTAGACCAGCAGCTCAGTGGCTCAGCATTATCTGGATGCTGATTAGAAATGCCTGTCACAGGCTGCATTTGTTACTTTTCTGCTGCTGTGATAGAATACCCTGATCAAAAGCAACTTAAGGAAGAATTTATTTTGACTCCAGAAGGGATATATAGTCCCTCATGCCTGGGAAGGCACAATAGCAGGAGTGAGAGACCTGCCTGGCAACTCAGGAAGCAAAGAGATCACATTTCAACCACATACAGGAAGCAGAAAGGGAGAGCAGGAAGTGGGACCAGGCTTTGATACTTCATAGCCTGCCCCAGTGACATAATTGCTCCATCAAGGTTCCACCTCCTAAAGGTTCTGTGACTTTCTCACTAACCAGGGACCAAGTATTCAAATATATGAGCCTGTTGGGGATATTTCTCATTCAAACCACAGCATAGGCCCTTCCCTGGCTTTCTGAATGAGGGTCTATAGATAACTTTGGTGTACATTTTACACTTGAGACTCACTGATCTAGGCTCATGGCCTTCAAATTTCCTTTAATTATTTATCATTTGCAAGTTCAGCTAATGAAAGTGTTTGGTGAATCTAATAGGTTGGTGTTTGGGATCTGCCTGACATTCTCTTGGATATTCGTGGGTGGAACCTTTTCAACCCCTGTGGCTCAGGAGAACTTTGTGTACCAATCCATAATCTTAGATACAGTCCATGATAGAAAGACAGCTGAGCCCTGAGCAGGAATGGGATTTGCTTCAGTTTACTTAGACTATACAGACCAACCAGAGCTTTTATAGATCAGGCAAATTAATATATGGCCATTAACTCTGTAGAAATGGTCGCCTATGGTTTTACTTAAGTGTTACGGTCTAGCTCTGAAAGTTTAGGAACACATAAAGTGAGATATTCTACTATTCTTAACTTTCTAAAATGTCCAGACTCCTCATTTGCAAATCTATTATGTTAGCCAAAAAATGGCACAGACTGTCTCTCCAAGTGATTGAAATTTTTTAGTTTGTATTTTTATTCGTAATGCACTAAAATTGGTTACAGAAGCATGCCAAGCACCTTGCTCAGCTCAGATGTGGTCTGGAGTTCTTATTTTATGGGGGGAATGTATTATATGCTGGGAATGCTTATTAAGTCTGGCATGTGATTCCAGGTCACAAATTAAGATGAAGAAAGAGCTCGTTTCTGCTTCATGGTAATGTGGCATACAAAAGTGCTACATGTGGCTGTAGCGTAATGGTGCCTAGACAGTTATATAGAAATTAGCTGTTTGACATCTGTTTTGAACCCCTAGCATGTGCAAGAATTATATTTTCTCAAGGTATTACAGCTGAGGGCATAATAAATCCTTGATGAGAATTTCATGCTCCTAAAACACTGGAATATGACTTGTTTTATATGCCTCTTACTTTTCCTCATTGGAAAATAGCAGCTGTTGGATATTCCTGGAGTATACTGTAGCGTACTGTAAGCTATTACAACTGTGGCCTGCCTGGCTGACTTCAGATCCAAATTCCAGAGAGGCACACTGAATATATTTGTTGACTTTCATCCATCTCCTGTTTGTTGTCTTATCACTGAATCCTCTATTTTAGCCAGCTTTGTGTTACTGTAATAACATACCTAAGCTAATCAAGTTATAAGGAAGGAAGGGATATTTTGGCTCACAGTTTTGGAAGTCTCAGTCCATTATTGATTAGCCCTGTTGTTTGGGGCCCATGTGAGGCATAACACCATGACAGGGAGAACATGTCAGACCAAAGACATTCACCTCAAGGCTAGGAAATGACAAAGAGAAAGAGGAGGAGAGTGGTACTACCACATCTTGAAGGTGTGTCCCCAATGATTAAAAGACCTCCCACTAGGGATCATCTTTTAAAGGCTCCACTATCTCCCAGAAGCTCCAAGGTAGTAGCTAAACTTTTAACATGTAGATCTTTGTGGAACACCTTAAGATACAAACTAATACATCCTAACAGAAAATCAACAATTTTTAGCTGAAACAACACCCTTGCTCTGTTTAACTCCCTCCGAATTCCATGTCCACAATTCTTCTAGCCCCTACTAGAAGTGTGACATGAGCAACCTTCTTCCCCATGAACTTTCTTTCTCTCTACACTGTCAAGTAATCAAGCTTGGTGATGATGACATATAGGCATAGGGAGTTGCAGCCATGGGCCTGCCCAGTGCTGTTCAAGCTTGCCTCCTGTTCTCTTGTGTGAGCTTTATAGATGCAGAAAAGCTGAAATTTAAATGATGGACTTATCAGGTGAAGTCCTGCCCCACAGTGTGAATGACCATATAGTGAGTGACTGATATCATAAATGAGAGGAGAGTGATTTATGCTGAGGTTCCCAGTCTTGGGATTCAGTATTCTTACTGTTTGAGTAATTCTTTTGTAAAACTCGTGAGTCAAAGGAAAAACAGAACCATGTCTCTAATTCTTAAGTCAGTGTGATAAAATATTCCAAGAAGTATTTATAACCTAATAATGTAGCAATAATGCATATACATTTAATGACAACTTTATTTTCTCCATTCTTAAATAATCCTGACCATTTTCCTATGGTGGTGGTGGGCCATGGAGCATTGCTCAGCATCTCAGACCTTAGTGTTTTGCTTCCTGTTCTGCACCAACTTCCAAAGGCATTGCTTTCAATCATCTTGAGGCTAAGAACTCAGCTGCTGTAAGATCCATTCTAAAAAGACACATCGCATGACGTGATGTTAAGTCTTTGAGCCACTTTTAGTGGAGCGCTTTTGCAACATTACCTCAGAGATGTGGCTGCTTTTCCTCCGGGTATTTCCAGGGTACCCGCCCACACTTACCTACAATTTGGGAACCCATAGTCAGATTGCATGCAGTTCTCTCATGCCTGATTTTTTCCATTTTCAACAGCTGAGGTTTTGCTGTGCTATGCACTAGGAGATGGTGTTTGCCTCACATTGGCTACTGAATGCAGTGGTTGCTGTGTATACCCATCATGACTTTCTGATAAGGCAGGTGGTTCTAGCTTCCCTCGTGGACTGGTAAGATCACTCTCCTGCTCACCTGGTTACTGTGGGTGCAGGAGAAGGTCATACTTCGATACACACACAGGTTGTTTTCGCCAAAATATATTTGAGTTCAGAAATAGAGGAAGAAATCACCTTTGTGAAGAGGATTAGAACTGTGGGCTGTCCCTTTTCTTGGCTCCAAGTGGCAGTACAGAAACTTTAAGAGACTAGATACAGCTTAATATCCCTATCTGTTAAAACAGCACTTGGGAGGCAGAGGCAAGTGAATCTCTTTGAATTCCAGGCCAGCCTAGTCTACATAGTGAGTTCCAGGCCAGCTGAGGCTACAGGGAGACCCTGGCTCAAAAAGACAAAACAAACAAACAAACAAAAAAACCTGCTAATGTTTGCCAGAGGCTTGGTGATCCTCAGTAGTAGCCTTCTAGGAACCTCAGTTTAGGCTGTAGGCACGCTAGTCTAGGGCTCAGTGTTCTGCTTGCTACTGTACTTGGAGGCCTCTATTAGTTTCTGTAGTGTGTGTGTGTGTCTGTGTGTCTGTGTCTCTGTGTGTGTGTGTCTGTGTGTGTGTCTCTGTGTGTGTGTCTGTGTGTCTGTGTGTGTCTGTGTGTGTGTCTGTGTGTGTCTGTGTGTGTGTGTGTCTGTGTGTGTCTATGTGTCTGTGTGTGTCTGTGTGTGTGTGTCTGTGTGTCTGTGTGTGTCTGTGTGTGTCTGTGTGTGTCTGTGTGTGTGTTGCATGCATGTGTGGGGGTGTATACAGAATATGTGCATATCATATGCATATGTGTGTGCAGTACATGTATGGAGGCCAGAGGTGGACATTCAGTGTCTTCCTCTTTTGCTCCCCGTCTTATGTTTTGGCAGAGTGTCTCACTGAACCTAGTTCTCCTGACCTCCATCTGCCCTGACTGCTCTGCAGACACATATTCAGCTCTAGGTAGAGATGGCATCTTTCTTCTTTCCTCTTAGCTGGTCTCTCTCTTCCCTTTCTCATGGTCTGCCAACTTTCTTCCTTTATATAAATTTTCTAGAAATTTCTTTTGCCACCTCCACACTATACAAGATGTATAGCACAGCACCACACAGCAGGGGTCCCTACCAATGTTTTGATTTATTGGGAAGACATTTTCAAAGATCCCAGTAACTAGCTTAACTGTGTTTGTTATTGGGTAGTGCCTGTGAGCCCTGGAGGGTTTGCTTGGTGTGAGGCTACACTCAGCAGGGAGATGGCAGACAGGCTGCATTTTAGGCTGGTTTGGAACTGTGTATTTCATCTGTGAAGTTGGCAAACACTTGAAAGCCACAAGCTTCTGTTTTCTGAAAGCTTCTTTGCACATGAGCATAAAATATATGTGCTGGATTTGGAGACTGTCCAGTAACTGCCTTCAGATGGAGCCCTCTGTGCCTGCAACTGTTTCCTGGGGAAGGGTGGCTGCTGTGC